CCTGAAGCGCATTGCAAGTGGAAGGTCCAGAACAGCAAAGAGAAGGGAACTAATTATCTAACTGCAGGTGTTAATTTGAAACTTGCTAACCACCAGGAGAAAAAGTACTTTGTGAGAATTACTGTATCAGCCAGGCAGTAGCTGGAGCTCCCAGGCAGAGACAGATGCAAACATGTTGGATTATGGAATTCCACTGAAATATAACAGACAAGAAGAGGAGCAGGAAAATGAATCTTAAAGCTTATAGACGGTTTTGCAATCTTTTAAAAATTAATTGCAGTATTGGAGCTGATGTTTCTTTTTTTTTTTTTTTTTATCCTCACCCGAGGATATTTTTCCATTTTTTGTACAGATAGAGTGGGAGGGAAAGAGAGGAAGGGAGAGAGAGACAGAAACATCGACGTGAAAGGAACACATCGAGTGGCTGCCACCGGCACGACCAACCAGGGCCGGGGACAAACTGCAACCGAAGTACATGCCCTTAGCGGGAACTGAACCCGGGTCTCTCCAGACCACAGGCCGACGCTCTAACCGCTGAGCCAAACCGGCCAGGGCGGAGCTGATGTTTCTAAGAAATCAACAGCATCATCAATCCCATCTAACAAAGGAGAAGAAAAGATTGTTATTCTCTGGACACGCAGAAAATTAGCAGTGATATAAAGACGTAGGATCTAAACTTGCAGGAAAAAAAATCACTGTGGCCATCTACTTCCCTTAATTGTGAGTTGTTGAAATAGTTTTAATTTTTCTGAGAGCCAAAGCCAACTATTCTTATTAAAAACAAAGTGCACAGCCCTGGCCAGTTTGGCTCAGCGGTTAGAGCGTCGGCCCACAGACCAGAGAATCCTGGGTTTGGTTCCCACTAAGGGCATGTACCTCAGTTGCGGTTTGTCCCCAGCCCCGGTTGGAGTCGTGTGGGTGGCAGCCACTTGATGTGTCTCTCTCATCTCGATGTTTCTCTTTCTTTCTTCCTCCCTTTCTCCCTCCAGCTCTATCTGAAGATAAATGCAAAAATGTACTCGAATGAGGATTAAAAAAATAAAAAACAAAGTGCACAGAAATACAGAACTGACAGAATAAAACCCAGTAGCCATGGCCGAGACTGGTGTCCAGGCAATAAAGCAGTTGGGTTACCATATCTTACAGGGCTTCTTGGGTTGGTTGTTGATAGCGCTTTTCCACTTCTTCCCTCTGAACTGAATCCTGATTTGGTTCAGTGGCTTCTGGAAAGATTTTTCTCTCTAACAAACACAAAGAGATACTAAGGAGAAAGCCCGTGTTCCTTCCTACCTGTGTCTGGATGTTTTTGTTTAAGGACATGATATACAGAACTACTGTAGTAATCTTGCCACAATGAGAGCAGTCAATGCTGTCACAAAATAGAAAAGTGTGTGGGTTCTTGGTGCTTCATTGCACTACTAAACAGACTGAAACCGCATACTGGCAGAATCCTTTTTTCCTTCCATTCTAAAATAATTTTTATGCTTCAAAAACAGTTGACATACATTATTATATCAGTTTTAAGTGTACACTCCAGTCAATAGACATTACATAACTTACCACGTGATCACTCCAATAAATCTTGCACCCATCTGATACCATGCATAGTTATTAGAATATTATTGACTATATTCCCTATGCTGTACTTTACATCCTAATGACTATTCTGTAACAACCAATTTGTACTTCTTAATCCCTTCACTTTTCACTCAGCCGCCCAACACCTCTCTCATCTGGCAACTGTCAAAATGTTCTCTGTGTCAATGAGTCTGTTTCTGTTCTGCTTGTTCTTTTGTTTTTTTAGATTCAATTGTTCATAGATATGTATTTATTGCTCTTTTTTAACATATATTTTCTTCTTCTTCTTAAAGAAGACATTTTAATATTTCATATAATGCTGGTTCAGGGGTGATGGACTCCTTTAGCTTTTCCTTGTCTGGGAAGATCTTTATCTGTCCTTCTTTTCTAAATGCCAGCTTTGCAGGGTAGAGTAATCTTGGTTGTAGGTCCTTGCTTTTCATCACCTTGAATATTTCTTTCCAATTCCTTCTGGCCTACAAAGTTTCTGTTGTGAAACCAGCCGGCAGTCTAATGGGAGCTCCCTTGTGGGTAACTAACTGCTTTGCTTTTTCTTTTTTTAATATGTTTTTATTGATTTTTTAGAGAGAGAGGAAAGGGGAGAGAGATTGAAACATTGATGTGAGAGAGAAACATCGATTGGCCCTTCTGCACACCCCTCACCAGGGATCGTGTCTGCAACCTGGGCATGTGTGCAGACTGGGAATCAAACCGGGACCTCTCAGTCCATGAAACCATGCTCAATCCACTGCGTTACACCAGCTGGGCATTGTGGCTTCTTATTTTACTCCCCAGTTGCAGGACTGTCATTCAGCTAGATTTCAGGCAATTACGAATGATGGCTGTTTTGTAGTTTAGTTGTAATTTTGATGTGGTTATGGGAGGAGGAGAGTACTGCATTTACCTATGCTCCCATCTTGCCCAGAAGTCCCAGAATTTTTAAATGATGGTTTTTGCCACTTTTGGTTTCATCTCCATGATACACTGGATGAAGAGAAATACCTTGAAGCCAAAACATTACACAAGAGCAAAAGAAATGTGTCTGAAGCGAGATGAGACTCTGATTATGCCAGGCCCTCTGTCTTTTGGGTTAAGTAGCCTTAAAGGAATTTAGAAAAAGAGAAAATAGCACTTATTTACTGAGCACCTGCTATAGTCATACACTGTGCTAGGTGCTGGGGTCACAAGAGTGGACAAGTCAGGCCAGGTCATTGAGGTCACGGAAGTCATATTCTAGAAGACAGATGATAAACAAGTAAAGAAATAAGGATAAGTGAAAACATTCTTAGTCAACTTTCTTAGTATTGGTTCAAAGGAGTTTTGAGTGTACATTTAGACTCTGGAATCAGATAATTCTGGATTCATATTCCACCTCTACCACTTGTTGTGACCTTGGTAAAGTAATTTAATCTTTCTGAGCATCAGTTTCCACATCTGTAAAATGACAATAGTAAACAATCTTGCCCAGCCAGTGTGGGTGAGTGGATTGAGCGTCATCTCATGGGCTGAGAGGTCCCGGTTCAAATCCTGGTCAGGGCTCATGCTGGGTTGTGGACTCAAATCCAGTAGGGGGCATGCAGGAGGCAGCCCATTGATATTTCTCTTTCACATCAATGTTTCTATCTCTCTCTTTACCTCTCTCTAAATAATCAATAAAAAGATTAAAAAAGAAAAAAAACTAGCCCTGGTAGGTTTTGCTCGGTGGTTAGAGCATTGGCCCATGGACCAGAGAGTCACGAGTTCGATTCCAGCCAAAGGCACATACCTCAGTTGCAGTTCGTCCCTGGCCCTGATTGGGGACGTGCAGGAGGTGACCAGTCTCTCTCTCTCTCTCTCTCTCTCTCTCTCTCTCTCTCCCTTATCTCTCTTTCTCTCTCATCTCTCTTTCTCTCCCTCCCCTCTACTCTATCTAAAGATAACTAGAAAAAATATCATTGGCTGAGGATTAAAAAATAATAATAATTTTAAAAAATAACTCATAGAGGAATACAGTAGACCCAGACACACGGAAGTAGGGCACAGACTGACATCCCTCAGAAGAGGGTATGGGGGGTTGGGGGGGTGGGAAGAGATAAACCACAGAACTTATATGCATGTATGCATGACCAATGGACATGGACAACTAAGCCGGGGACAGGGCGGAGGTGGGGTAGGGTGGGGGGTGCCAATGGGGTAAAAAAGTAAAATATCTGTAACAAAAAAATAAATAAAAATTCATTAAAAAAAAATAATAATAATAAAAAAAAAATAAAAGGCTAGAAAAAAAAAAAACTCATAGAGTTGTAAGGATTAAACGCATGTAAAGTGCTTACGTGGAACCTGACATATAGTCAGTTTCTCTAGATTCTAGACGATGATGATAAGGGTGGTGAATCATCCTCATCATCATCCTCCTTTTCATTGTCATAATAATTTGTGCCAGGCACTGTGGGTGTCAAAAGATGAACATGACATAGACCTTGCATTCAAGAAATCTGGGAGGCAAGAATTCAGATTTGGACATAGAACAGTCAAAAGTTAGGCAATGAATTAGGCAGGAAACAAAAGAATTCCTCTGGTAACCAGGGAGGGGGTAGGCTAGGCCCCCGTCTCTACTTTTCTCCCGCACATGTTTTATAACCATTATCCCCTTTTCCAAGAAGGAAAAATATATTCTGAAAGATTGCTGCTCTTCTTTTACAGACAGCCACTGTTCCCAAGAGAATCAAGTGGGCTTTTTCTTTCTCCAGTGAAGTGAAAAATATAGGACGTGTATATCTGGGTGGCACTTACCAGTCTGTGTCTGTGCAAACACACACAGCGATACTCCCATAAATTATCTCACCAAACCCTGTCTCCCTTCCTTCATCCTCCCGAAATCATACCCACTTAATGCGTTTAGTATTCTGCAGTTAACTATTAACTGCCACATTTCGCTATAAATTACAGATAAACATTAACTAATCAGGTCCCCACGCCCACACACATACCCTCACCCTTAGAAACATTTCCACTAATGGTCCCACGAACCACTGAACACTCTCTCATTCTTGGAGAGCATCTTCCCACAGGCTCGCTTACACACTGGCTTTTTATGTGAGCTCTCAACTCTTAGATAGGAATTTCATTAACAAAGGGAGGGGAGGGGAAGTCAGGAGGAAAGGAAAGATGCATGGGGAAAGAAATGACAATCGTTTTTGAAAGGGACCTGAAATTGTATCATCCTAGCCCGAACTTCCCTTATAACTATTTTTTATTTGTACGTTCTGTGCCCGAAAACAAAATAACTTTTCATTGATTGGGCAATTGTCCAGGCTCTTAGCTTGGCACCCAGCCCCAGAACTGTGAAATCAGCCTCACCAAGCCTATGCTTTGAAATGAGAAAACATCTAACTGGAAGCCCATTCAAAAATAGGAACTTGGCACAAGGCTCCAGGGTCCTATGTGTCTTCCTGCTCTCAGCTGCATCTCTCTCATCCAATCTTGGTGAAGAGTCTTGGCTAAGAGATAAGGAATGGGAAGGTAGTCCCAAGAAAGTTCCATGACATTCTCAGAAGTCACCGCCTGAATATCAAACCTGAATAACCAGGAGAGATGTAACCTTGGCATACTTTCAGCTGTTTTCTTCCTGCCCACGCTCCAGGCTGTTCAGGTCCTTGCTTGAGCGTGAACTCACGGGCGTAAATAACGCGTTGTCAACAGCCTGTGTCAGGCAGCCCGGCTATTTAAGCAGGCTGGCATCAGAGACCGCAGCTTCCAAATCCAGACTTGGCCTCTTCCACGTAAGTAACTTTCAGAGGTTTGCCTTTAATGTAGCAGAATGAACTTTATGTAGAAGCAACTGAAATGCTGTAGTTGCCATATCTGCTCTCCTGTTGGGAAAGGTGGAGGTGTGAGGGAGAATGAAAGTGGAGAGTTGGTCCCGCGCAGGGAGGCAGAGACTGCTGCAGGATGTGCAGTATCAGAGCCTTGCAAACGTGTGCAGAGTTGAGGTGGCTTTGGGGCTGTCTATGCTGACCTTTCGCCAGAAAGTAAGATGTTTTTCTCGCTCTCTCCTATCTCTCAAAGACACTTTGAAACCAGCGCTTGTATGACTGTGCTAGATTGCAGGTGAATTTATCCCTTGGAGCCGATATTGCTATTCTACATCTCAGACTAAAGTCAGACGTGGTATTTAAAAATTTTTTGTGTGTTCAATGTAGTGGGGAAGGGGAGGTATCTCTGGACTGAGTGGAGGTGGCTTGACTGTCAAATTTTGTTTAATCTTTATTGTTGGAAGTATTACAGATGTTTTGGCTGTAAATTTGCAATGCTGTTTATTGTTACTTCTGGTTCTCATAACACTTGCCAGCTATGGAAATGAAAACGTTGATCATTTTTAAATGGAAAAAAAAAACAAACCATGCTCTGGGGCTTGGAGAAAGTGTAGGTTTGTGATATTCCAGCACAATGGTATCCGGGTACACTGTTAAGCAAAGTGGAACAAGAAGTATGGAATAAAAAGGCACAACGTATCACATAGCTCAAGAGAGACAGTCTTAAAGAGAAGAGGAGAACAAAAGTTTCCAGGAAGGAGCACTGCAGTGTAATTAGTTAAGAAGGGCTAGTAGAACCGGAGCAGGTGGAAAACAAAATAAAGGAACAGGGGAGGAGAGAAGCGGGGAGAAGGAGGAGCAGATAGTAGAAGATAGAAGAGGATGTATAATTAGACACCATAGTCACAAAACTCATATAGAAATATAATAAGGAATAAAGAACGACATTAATTCCATAGTTCCGCCCTTGGGCCAAGAAGCCTGTGATTAAGATTAAGAAACTGGTGAAAGCCAAGAGCCTTTTGCAGGTACTCCCCCCACCCCCGTGTCCCAAGCACACACCTCGATGTTTATTTCCTAGAAGTCCAAACCCTAAATGAAGACCTCTGGCTGAAACCAAGGCATTAAGTTTTTAAACTGAGCTGAAGCTGCTAACTAGGAACCTACAGACATGATGTGGGAAGTTGAGACCCTTAACCCAACAGGCACCTCTTAATCACCAAACTGAAGCTCAGTTGTAAGGTCATAAAGGTCTGATTTCAAATAATGATTAAGGGGCTTCTCTGAGCAAACATAAGTTGGAGGCCAGGAGGAAGAGGAAACAAATTGAAAGGTGGCTCCTATTCTCAAAGAGCTTGGTATCTAAAGTACAAAAACAAAATAGCATGAGGCTTGGCCAAAAAAAAAGTACATACTGTGTGATTCCATCAGTACAAAACAACAGAAAATGCAAACTAATCAATAGTAACGGAAAACAGATCGATGGTTACCTGGCAAAGAAGGGTGAGAGGAAGAGGTTTGGAGGGGTACCAAGGGACACAGGAAACTTTTGGGGATGGTGAATATGTTCACTATCATGATTATAATAACCAGTTCTGACAAGTGAAAATCCATCAGATTGTACACTGTAGATATTGCAGCATTATATGCCAATTATACCCCAACAAACAATGCTCTAATATATCTTTTTAAAAATAATTAAAAGCATCTCTAAATATCAGCCTATGCAACATACTGAAAATAAAAAATGAGTATGTCTGGGAAAAAGTTAGCTCAGTAAATAAAGTAGAGTAGCAGACCAGTGGGATTGTGGACTTTCGTAGAAAGGGTCCCAGAGAACATCTAACTCAGTTTTGGACCTGGGACTGAGCCCCACCCCAACCAATGAAATCAGAGCCCCTGGGTGTGACCTGACATTGTTTTTTTTTGAAACTATCCAAGTGATTCTGATGTGAAACCCAAATCTCTCACTTCACAAGTGAGGAAAGTGAGGCCCAGGATGGGGTGGTGGGGCTGCCCCTGGCCACTGGACCATATGCCCCAAGGCCCAGGGAGGACAATAACAGGACCTCAGAGGAAGAGGGACCCCTGAGGCCATTGCTTCTGGGTCCTCAAAACTGCACGTCCAGCTCTAGCTGGCATAGGGTATCCAGCGTGTTTCAAGCACATTCTTGGAACCCAGGCATGCTCTGGGGCGGCCAAGGAGAGGAATCCCAGCGCCTCAAAGGTGCATTATTTAAGAATTGTGCTAACGCATGAAAAGGGATGTTTCAAAACTAAAGCTTCCTTTTGTTCCCTACATAATAGCCAGTATAAGCCAGAGGATTATAATTACTAAAAAGAATTGTGGCAGACGCACCAGGCCCTCTGCGCTGGCGGACAGCCCAGCTGTTCTCTCAGGAACTAGCCTGAGTTCTCGGCATTGAGATGAGTCGATTTGGCACTACGGGGTCTTTTCAAAGTGAATCCAGGTCTCAACACCGGAAGGACGTGTGAGTGGTGAAGTTTGTTTCTGTGGCTTCTGCTCCTCGGGTCTGTCCCTCACCTCGGCACCTCTGTGGGTGCAGGGGTGCCCACGGCCTCGGCCAGCTGGCATGTTGTAGGTAGTTTCTCTTCTCTCCTCCAACCCAAACGTCTCATCTCCTCAATGCTTTGCTTACCCATTTCTGGAAAAGTAATTAAAGGTATGATGTTAATAGACAATAATTGTCTAATGAGTTATGCCTCTCCCTGGCACATGAAATAGGTTCCAGCAAGATAACACATCTGAGAGTTCTTCAAAATGTTATGTAAATATAATTACTGTTTGGGACAATCAGGAAAATCAAAGTTTCAGTCAAATTTTATAATCCGTACCGGTCAGAATTCCAAGCAACTTGCTGGGGGAACATAGACTAAGAATGGGAGTTTTCAGTAGAATCCCTCAAATCACATCGGAACTCCCTACAGACTGTGGGCCCTGAGCGATTTCTTTTTCTGAATTGGTTTATTTTTTTTGTTAAATGAGTTCATCTTCATCGGAGGTGGCTGCATTTAATTTATCATTCGGGGAAAAAAATGGAGAACTACCTTAAGGGTACTAAAATGTCAAGACATTCTGCTCACAGGGCTTTATGAATATTACCTGGTTCCTCTGGCAGAGTTTTCCCTGCCCTCGTGTCAAGGAACCCCCTTCCTGCAGCCCTGGGGTGAGGGGTCCCCTGGGTTCCTGTGACTCTGGACCCCTGACAGCCCTTTCCCCACTGGAGAGCCGAGACTGCTGCAGCTCCTGTCGGCAAGTGGCAACTGCGGCACCGCCTCCCTCTGAGAGGGGCGTGGCCAGGTGTGTAACTAACCTCCCTCTGGGCTGAAGCAGAGTCCCAGGCGCTGGGAGTCCAGGGCAGCTGGGCAGCCAGAGGGCACAGTCTTCACTGGGGAGAGCAGCCGCGTGGAACGGGAGGGAGAAGGTAAGCTCCATCCTGAGCCCTGGGACCCGGAGACCAGGAGACAGGGGACCAAGCTCTGGGGGAAAGGATTAGGCTGTGGGCATCAAGGTGGTGGTCAATTTTGGTTTCATGTTGCTGTTTGGAAGCCAAATGGTTCCTGTTCTTGCCATTCGAAGTTTCACCAAATAATAATAATAATGTTCTTTAAAGTGAGTGACAGGTTTGCCCAGCTGATAAAATAGGTTTGTATAACAGCGACAACATTTCTGCCTTCTTTGGATGAATTTCTTTGAACATTTCCCCCTCGCCTTTGTTTCCACATTCTCTTACTGTGAAATGGCTTAGTTGATACATAGACTTTTTGTTTTAAAGGCCGTGTCATAACCTAAGCTGGATTAATTTTTAGAAATTGCTGATGGCAGTTCTAATCTCTTAGTGCCAAGTAAATGGGGATGGTGGATAGGGCTATGCAAAGATAAAATTGTTGGCAGAAAGTGAGCTGTGGCCTGGAGTAATTTATAAAGTACTAACCTGCCCATTTAAAAACCAGCACCTGAGGATCCTGAGGCAGCCATCCTGTCTGCTGGCCTTGGGTGGGCTGGTGCAGAACAGGTTTGAGGCTGCAAATAAAAAGGATTCTCCTGCTGCACAGGGGCAGAGAGGGGAGGGTGTGCAGCATGTGCTCTCTTCCTGACCCTTGCTCCCTTAGCCACCTCTGCCTTTCAGTGACCCTGCTGTGGATTTGTCATTCCAGTGCTATTGATTCTGAGCACACGTGGGGTTTGGGGTGTGTGAGTTCATGAGCTAGCAGGTACAGGTCAGTCTGTCCTTTCTACTTGCTGGGAAAGTGCCTTCGTGGATCCTTAGGTTGAACACCCTTCCACAGAACCCCAGTGCAGATAAGTCCTGGCAGGAGATAACCTGGCTTGGGGAGTAAAGTACAGGGCTGGTGACCAGGAACCCAGGTTTTATTTGCAGATCAATCTCAGCTATAATGAAATGTTAAAGCAGGAGGGAGCCCCAAAAATCAGTTGTCCAGTGGATTATTAATAGCACCCCCTTTCAATCTCAAAAATACCTGCCCTGAGCAATGAACTATGTGGTCTCCTGTGAATACAATTCATAAAGGTACAAGTGAGTCGCCCTAAATTTTAGGATTAGCCGGTGGCTTTGCTGACTCTGGAACCCAGGCCTGCACGTGTCTCATTCTGGCCTCTCTGCCAAGTCACTGGCTCCCACCCTGACTCAGTTTCCTGGGGGAAGCATTGTACCTGTACTGCCCGGACAGAAAGCTGGTGTATTTATAACGGCTTGCCAAACAGAATTTCAGTGTCAATGCTGAGGGACTGGTTCATCACAAGGCCACGTTACTCTATTTGTCTCAGGTTCCAATGTTAGCTTATGGCCATGTTTGGATAGCAATAGACGCTCTTTTAAAAGTAGAGAAGTTAATTTTTACCCATCCGCATATAATTGCTTGTAATTTGCTTTCGGCGGTTTTGATAAAATGTGACCAAACATGAAAACCCTGCCAGATCTTTC